GAAAAGAGTGCTTGGCCTTTGGATGACAGTGTTGCGCCACTGAACCATCCTAGCATATTTAACGTAGCTCCTACTGGCCCCCTCTTTAGGGCTGGAGGAGGACCCTGTATTTCCAGTTACGGCTGGGGATTCGTCTTAGAGGAACAGACTGCCCATAGTGCCTGATGCTGCCTGCTAGACTGCACCTCCTGGTTGAGAGGATTGTCTGAATTATGCCTGAACTTGCTGTATCCTTCAAACTTGGTGGCTTGGACTGCTGGCTGCCCTCCCAGTGGCTCAGTCTCCCCAGCCCTGCCCCAAGGAGTCTCAGCTCTTTCTTCCCTGTTAATCCTGCATTTCCAGGGTCACATCCTACCTGTGCTCTTCCCACTTTGATGCTTCTGGTGTATCGTAATATCCAAACATCCTAGACTGCTGGCCATTCTCTGAATAGTCCTTCCACTTTCCTGCTTCTACGCTGTTCCTTCATGCTGGTCCCTCAACTGGAAATGCTCTTTCAACACTCTCATATTTTCACCATTAAATCCTCGCGACCATCTTGTGATGCTATTATTCCCATCTGGCAAATGATTCAAAAACATTAGGTAACGTATTTAAGGGTATGTGGCCAGCAAGTGGCAGAACTGGGATGCTGATGTAGGTCTCTCTGACTTCAATGTCCATGTCCTCTGACTCCCCCATTTGACATTTTAGAGAAGACACTGCCCAACTCAAGTCATGAAGGACTTATCCCCTTCCATGAGGGCAAGGAGTGAGTCATTCCTTATTGACCCCCAGAGTCAGTGGTGTGCAGGTCAAGGTCAAAAACTGGCTTGGGGGTTGGAGGTGGGAGCCCTGATTTGTAGTGTTTTCTATGGGGTAAATACCCCATAGTGGCTGATTTCAATGTCCCAATGTGACCTTACTGAACCAGGGGCTGGGAAGAGTGAACAGTGCACAGTGTTATAGGATGTTTCCACCTTACAGATATACAACAGATGTGAGTAACCTCAAGTGCACAGATAGGGACTTCCCTGGTGGCGCAGTGGTTAAGAATCTGCCTGCCAATGCAGGGAACATGGTTCAAGCCCTGGTCCGGGAAGATCCCACATGCCGTGGAGCAACTAAGCCCGTGCGCCACAACTACTGAGCCTGTGTGCCACAACTACTGAACCCCGCACACCTAGAGCCCGTGCTCCACAACAAGAGAAGCCACTGCAATGAGAAGCCCGCGCACCCCAACAAAGAGTAGACCCCGCTCGCTGCAACTAGAGAAAGCCCACGCGCAGCAACAAAGACCCAACGCAGCCAAAAATAAATAAATAAATTTTAAAAAATTAATAGCTTTAAAAAAGAGAGTACAGATAACAGCAAAATGTAGTAAAAATCATTAGGAAGTGAATGAGTTTTGATCATTTATTACCTTTGTTTTAAATCCTGTTGCTTCTATTTTAATTTTGTGTAACTTAATCTTTAAAATTGTTGTGTTTAACAATCGGCTTGCAAGTTTCCTGGAAACTTAACAATTAGGTTCCTAACTGGTTAGAGCCGGCTCCAGCGTGCCACTGCTGGAGTCTAGTCCGAGGCTTTGCTTTTAATTGGTTCTAGAATGGTGGTGGGTATGCTAATAAAAATAACATGCTCATCCACTAATGAGTTTGGAACAGAGCTGGTAACCAGACTTCAGCATTCTTTCCCATGTCTGAGAATGCCTTAGCTCCACCGCTCACACAGAAGGCCAAACAAATAAAAATTAGCTGAGGGTGGAGACCAAAGAACAGCCAAGGCTCCAACTAAGGTCTGTGAAAACTGATCTCTGCCCAGTGCCAGGGTGGGGCCTTGTGACTGCTTCCAGTTCAAAACAGTCCTGGCAACTGGGTTTGAGCAACTGTCCTCTCTCCGTCTACACCCACAGCCAGAGCAGTACTGAAGAAAAAGCACCAGTCATCTTGTTATTCTATCACATTCCAGAAAGTACAGCCCCCCCCCTCCCCCAGGAACTGGGGAGCCTAAAAAGAAGTAACAACTAGATTGCTCCTCCCAAAGGCACAAAGAAGTGCTGCGCTGGGACTGTCTTAAGGTTTCCTTATGGGTACAGCGCTGACATCACTGGAAACTGGAGTGGGCAGGCACAGCTTAGGGAGGGAGAGGGCCAGCTGGAAAATCAGCTGTGCTGCACTGCACTCCGCACTATCCCTGTCCCGGTTCAGAGATTGCACCATATATGGACGCAGGCTCAGGACGGCAGTCCCGCTGATTTGCATTGGGGCTCCCTGAAAATTGCATTTTGGGATTAGGTCATTGCTACCAGCGAAAGGGAAGACCCCAGTAAGGCTTGTCAGCATAAAGAAATCGGGCCAACTGTGGTCTGGCGTGGACCGAGGAGGGAAGGGGGTGCCGCCCCTTTCCAGCCAAGCTGCTCTTGGGAGCAGGCCAGAGCCTCAGCAAGCTGTGGGAGTGACTCTCGGCCACGGTGCACTTAGTAACAGTCCAGGCTCCCAGTTACTCTGGGGTCAAGATGGGTTCACCCAGGTAAACCCCAGCTAGTGAACCCACAACCTCATCCCCTAGGTCCAGACTGGGTCAGCCCAGGGTGACACAACTGGGCCTTGGGAATCCAGGGAAAGGGGAAAGGAAAGGGTGGGTTGGAAGTGATCTGGGAAAGTGGCTTTTAATAAATGGCCAATAAATTGGATCCAATTTGTAAAGATTAATTAATTTGTTTTGCTGTTGTTTCAGCAATTGGATGGTTTTAACTTTTTTCTTAAAGGACCAGTTTGAATTATTTCAGGACACTTCTCTCTCTGTGCACCTCTTGATTTGATTCAAAAGACAAGAAGCATGAATTACTCTCTGGCAGTGAGAATGAACTGCTCCATATGCGAGATGCAGAGAAACCTCACAAACATAGGTAGAGAGAAAGAAAGCAGACACAAAGGAGGCCTGTGAATCCCATTCATATCAGCTCGAAAACAGGCAAATCCATCTGTGTTGCTAGAACTCGGGATAGTGGTTCCTTTGTTGGCGTTAGTGCCTGGGAGGGGCAGGAGGGCTTCGGGGTGCGAGTGATACACTCATTCTTTGTCTGGGTGCTGCCTACACAGATGGAGACACACTGAGATGTCCACTTAGGATCTATGACATGTCTGTATGTCTGTAACATTTCATTCAAAAGTTTCATTAAAAAACCCACAAAAACCAGGCCTTCCAAGATGGCCCACACTGTCTATGGAGTGTGTATCTCCCTAAATAAACCTTCGTTTGCTTTAAACACACATACACACACATGCACAAACCAGAATGTAATCTTATGAAGTAACCTGTAACAGCAAAACAGTGAATTCCTCTGTGCCAACCAAAAATAAGCCCTGAGGGTCAGTGCAGCACAACGCACAGAGCGACACTGGCTCTGACCCCACTGCTGCTGTTCACTGCTGAAAGGGTCTTGGGAACCCAGCTCCCCACTTCTCACATCCTCCACTGCAGAACAAAGGGGTGGGATTCGATGAAATGCTCTCCCAGAGAAGACTCCTCTTCCTACCTGCTTCAGTGGAGATGGAATAGATTTAACGTTTGCTTTGCCTCACCTGTGATCTTGTAGAGGAAAGTTCTGCAGGCTTGGTGAGCCCACAGATCAGATTTCACAGTCAAAGCGTACACACGCCTGTGCTCACACACACACAGGCACACGTGGGAGTGTCAAGCCCCTCTCAGCAGCCTCTCATCACCCATCGTCAGCCCTGACTTTCCCATTCATCTCCATTCTTGCCTCACCTCCTCCCCCTTGATCTTAGTGTTACTTGTCTCCTAGGGCTGCCATACAAAGTACCACAGACCGGATGGTTTAGAACAACAGAAAATTTTCACTTCACAATTCTGGAGGCTAGGAGTTTAAGATCAAGGTGCTGGCAGGGCCACGCTCCCTCTGCAGCCACCGAAGGATCTTTTCTATGCCTCTCTCCTAGCTTCTGGTGGCCTCAGTGATCCTTGACTTGGGGATAATCACTCCGGTCCTCCATCTGCACGTGGCGTTCTCCCGTGACCTCACATGGCCGTCCGTCTGTGCTCAAATTTTCCCTTCTTATAAGGACACCAGGCATATTGATTAGGGCTCATCCTAATCACCTCATTTTAACTTGATGACCTCTGTCAAGACTCTATTTGCAAACATGGTCATATTCTGAGGTACTAGGGGCTAGAACTTCCATACATATATTTTTTGAGAAGGACATAATTCAACTCATAACATCCAGTGATTAAAAGTCTTCAGGAAAAACTCAAGTAGCCCCCAACTCTATGCCCTGCCAGGAAAGAGTAAGGATTCCAGATGAAGACCAAACACCGAGAGCCTTGAATTAATCTCGTGTTTGTATCATACTTCCCACGCCCAAAGCACTTCCATAATCAATATATCATTTGATTCCCCACAGTAAGAAAGGTAGAAATGCAGGCTCTGGGGCAAGACCGCCTGGGTTGGAATCTCAGCTCCATTTGTTACCAGCTGCTTGACCCTGGGCACGGGACCTCTTTGCCACGGTCTCCTCGTCTGTCAAAGAGGGATGTGCCGAGAATCAAAAGAATTAACACGAGAAGCGCTTACAACAGTGCCTGGTACACAATTCGCATGGATAAGCCTTAGCTACAGCAAGATCAGAACACCAGACTGCGTCATCCCCATCTTACAGATGAGGAAACTGAGGCACACAAGAGTGATTCTAGGCAGATCCAGAATGGAAACCCAGGCCTTGTGGGTTACAGCACAGACTCATTGGGTTATCTGGCCTGACTTGCTGTCCCTTTTAGGTAACAGTAACAACAACGACGACAGCTACCTTTCACTGAGCACTCAGTAATTGCCAGGCACTGTGCTAAGTGCTTTCCATCCAGCATCTCATTTAATCCTCGTGTGAGGTCTTGGGATCCCCATTTTAGAGCTGAATCACCCAGCTAGTGATGGGAAGCCAGGATTTGAGTGCAGGCCTCTGCAGCACCAGGGCCTGAGTCTTCGACCCTTTACGTACCATAGCCTCTGGGAAGAAGATGACCACTGTAGTTGCTTTATAAGCCAGGTGTTGCCAGGACGGGTCAGGCGATATTTGTAAGCTCAGGAAGAAGCCATTCCTAACCATCCTTCATCCTAAGTGTCCCATGTGCTCCCACGGAAGGATTTGCAGATCTGACACCAGAGCTTAGGAAGCCAACCCTGGGAGAGGAGAGACGCCAGATGAGAGCGTTATAGCCAAGGCCAGGCCCGGGTGCCAGCGAGATTGTCTGATGCTGCTGAACAGGTAGAGGAGAACCCGATGCCAGAACCCAGAGGGAACTGCAGTGCCCGGGCACAAAGGCTTCATGACACCTTTCATGTCTGTGAGGAGAGAGAAGAACGACACTTCACTTGGGTGCAGGTAGTCCTGGGGCAGCGGGGATGCTGCTCAGACGGCCACCTGGGAACACCTTCCTGGTTGGGGATGTCAGGCAGAGACCTAATGGAAGCAGCCCCATGGGGGCTTTGCCCAGGCTGGGCTGACACACATCCTGATGCACACACGTGGTTGTGTCTGGTGACGCAGACAGACACGACTGTTTGGGCTTTTGTCGTTTCTTCTTCTCCCTCTATCAGCAGCATTGCACTCAAAGTCCTTGATCCCGGTTGGCCTGATTAGGGTCGTCACAATCCCTGGGCCCTGCCTGTGCCTCCTGGGGCCCCCTGGTGGATGCACCAACGTTAAAGGAACCAGTGGAGGCCGAAAATAGGGCAGCTGTGGTGGTGCAGAGGGGAAGGCGGGGGACAGTGGATTTTTTTCCAACAGAATTTAAAGAGCGCTGTCCTGAATCTCTCTTGCCCCCCTGGGTGAATGAGTTACCGTGACAGCTCTGCCTCTGGAATGGACTTTGAGGGGAGGGCAAAATAAAAGGTTGGCCGCCTCCTTCGATTTCCATTTGGAGCACTCCGCAACTCTCCAGGGCATTGAGAAGGCAACACACTTGGAGTTTTCCCAGAAGAATGTGGGCTGTGGCCTTAGCAAAAGGTGTTTACTCCCTTGCAGGTGGGATTTTTATTGCTAGTTTCAACATCAAGGAGGTGTGAACGTTACATACAAATCCTGACAATCAATACCACCTGAGGAAGGCCAGAAAGGGGTTGCACAGGTCACTGCTTCTCAAAGTTCAGAGGCACAGTTTGGAAACAGCTGGGAATCTCGTGAAAATGCAGATTCTCAACCAGTAGTTCTGGGGTGGGGCCCGGGAGTCTGTGTTTCCGACGTGTCCCTGAGGCTTGTCCTCTGGATTAAGAAATAATCCTGTACCGTCCTGGCATTCTCCTCCACACACACCACCCCCGCCAAAAACCTAAAATAAAACCGGGGAATTGCATTTCCTGGAAGTGTCTTACATGACCCCAAATAACTGGGAAAGGACTGCCGTACGGTATTTAGGGTTTTAACTGTCCCCTCTGCTCCCGCCCACCAAGAATGGTCTTACACTAGAGCAGGTCAGAGAGTAGCGCAAAGGATGAAGACGATTTCATGGACAGTCTCCGGCAATCTTAAAGAAAAAACAGAAACAACAGTATTAAAACTACCAGATTTTGCTCTAAAATACATTCTTAAAGGTGGCTTGGACTGATATATAAGCATAACAATGACTAGAAAACATGGTTAAAGGCAAATTTGATTCTCTGTGCTTTTCTGTATTTCCCAAATCTTCTACAAACGAACGTATGTTGCTTTCTTTTTTTTTTTTTTTAAAGGCTACGCTTGAAACATTCTGGACTGTGGAAGTGCACAGGCCTTTTCCCTGGTACTGGGAACTAGAATGGAATCTTTAACATTCAAGAGCTGATACTGTCTAGACAGGTACATTCTGCAGATAACTGAACCTTTGGGGATGGAGGGAGGGCTAGGATCTTCTGGTGTTGAGGAGATCAAGCTGGCAAGGCAGGTGGGCGTTGAGCCACCATTTGGCATTGAAGGAGGGAGGGAGACAGCGTGTGGGGAGCACCCAGCCTCTGCCTCCTGAGGTCATGCTGACTGCTTGTGGCCCAAGGTCTGATTTATTTTAGTTTCTATGTCTGTGAGCAAGGCCAGTTTGCATAAATGATGGTCTGGCATTTTGATCCATGTTTACAAATCAATGAGCAGACTACCAAAATCAATGAACTGTGATCGTGCGCATTTTATAGATGAGAAAAGGCAGGTTGGGTAGGGAGGTTGGAGAGGGTAGAATTAATCACGGAAATGGAAACTTCATAACTCAGTTTCCCTTCCAAGGCATTTCCTTTCCTTCAGGGATTCCCAATCTTTGGAAGAGATAGTGCACGTAACTCTGGATAAACACAGTCCTCTCCTTATCAGCAGGGTGCTTTGTACACAGTAGATACTCATTTTTAAAAAATACCCTAATGTTTCTTTCATAATGGTCTGAGCATAAAGCACAGAGCAATTTTAGGAAATTGCCATCTTTTCCCACTGGTAGCAACAAGCTTTGCAGAGAGGTTTACATACGCAGTCACCAATACCTATTTGTTAAACAGAATAAAAGAATATTTAAGAGACAAGATTTAGGAGGTCTGAAAAAACAAAATGGATTGCTACGAAACGGGAAAAGAGCTGGCTCTAAAATGTAGCAATGTTCTTTTATGTTTACACATATAAGATGGCTTTATAGGTTTCACACATGTAATTTCTAATGTTTGAGAAAATAAAATTATAGGAGGGCTGCCTTCTCAGGTCCCTCAACCCTCTGTTCAGGAATGAAGACTGGCCTTCTGTTACCAACTTGGCCGATCTCTCTGCTGCTTTCTTGCCAGGCCTACTCAGATTTGAATACCCTTCATCCTGCAAAGGTCAATGTAAGTGACATTTGCTCTTTTGTCTCCAAAGGTCAATATAAGTGACATTTGCTCTTTTGTCTCCAGTCTTCATTCCTCTGGGTCCTTTGTTGACCTAGACCCCCGACCCTGCCAATCAGTTGTCCCTTATTTTCATGGCTTCCTCTAGAAAAAGGAAAAACTCCTTTATAGGCAGGTATGAACAACTGATAAGTTTAGAGTAGCCCAGAGAGGTTGCATTCCAGGCCAAACTCTGAGCAGACCAATTTGTCTCCTAAGGCACTCCTTGACTATTTTTGATCCTCTGTTTTTAGTGTCAGGGTGTCTCTGGCCTCCAGAGCACATCTCTGAGGCTCTCTATTACCTCAGGGAAGGCTCCCGACCTGCAGACTCACCCTGACCCCCATACCTCTCCCCCTCTCACCATCCTATCTGAACTTACCCAACCTTGCCCCAGCCTTCAGCATCTTTGTCATAAGTTGACCAAATGTACCAACAGGCCCCTTAATAGTGAGAATTAAAGACAAGTGCATTTTTGAGATGATAGACCTTCAAATCACCCAATGTAAGCAACCCTGCCATTGGGTCCATGGGCCCCATAAAGATTGATGACAGATAAGTGAAGCTGGGGCCTACGTGATCTTCCCTCAATTGCACAGCACCCTCCTCTGGCCCTATGGACATCGGTGACTCACCAGGAGCGTCAGAGGACCAAATTGCTCCCTAAGCAAAGCAGATAAGAAGAAACACAAGGTGGTATTTGCTGGGGTGAATCATTGCCCTTTCAGCATGTTTGAACGGTCTACTTCTGATCCAAGGTCCTGGATGAGCAAATTGATATATGACCAGTTAGATTCTCCCTGCAGTGGATTCAGCACATGCCCAAAGCCTCTGTCATAATGCTGTGCACTCCCTGACCGCCTTGCTAATGGTAACTGGGCTCTGCACCATACGTCAGGCTGGGAGAACCAGAAGACCAGATGTGGGCCCAGGTGCCCCTTTCCCCTGGCAAGAACCAGCCCCGAGTTCCCACAGTTTGCCATACCTTACCACTGTCCTACATCAAGCTCCATAATTTATTATGGAAAGCACTCTGCAGTAGAGAAAAGCAGATGGGAAGACGCTCAGAAATCCCACTGTGCTAGCACCAGCAGCTAATGAGAACAGTTACTGTCATCTGCTGTCAGAGGCAGCATGAGCTGGAGTTCTCAGACCCAAGTCAAGCAAATAAGAACTTGAGAAGGAAACTCTTATAAGCAGAGTAGAAGTCTGCCACTGTTGTTACACCAGGCTGCGGTGGTATCTGGGTTGGAACTGCAAGACCCCCAGTTGAGAGTATAGTTTGGAGGCCTGGTCAGGAGTCTGAGCTATGGTGGGCCACACAGACCCCGGAACTTTCCAGGGGATCTTCCTCACCAACAGTCCTCCAGTGTGACACATTCTTTCTTTTCTTTTTTAATTAATTAATTTATGGCTGCATTGGGTCTTTGTTGCAGTTGCAGGCTTCTCATTGCAGTGGCTTCTCTCGTTGCGGAACACAGGCTCTAGGCATGCAGGCTTCAGTAGTTGTGGCACATGGGCTCAGTAGTTGTGACTCACGGGCTCTAGAGTGCAGGCTTAGTAGTTGTGGCACACGGGCTTAGTTGCTCCGCGGCATGTGGGATCTTCCCAGACCAGGGCTCGAACCCGTGTCCCCTGCATTGGCAGGCAGATTCTTAACCACTGCAGCAGCAGGGAAGCCCCTGACACATTCTTAGCTCACTGTCAGTAATGGGTCTCTCACTAACTGAGGATGTTGGATTGGGGCAACTGGAGAAATATCAACACATTCCTGGTGTGTGTGTGTGTGTGTGTGTGTGTGTGTGTGTGTGTGTGTGTGTGTGTGTGTGTGTGTGTGGGTGTGTGTGTGTGTGTGTGTGTGTGTGTGTGTGTGTGTGTGTGTGTGTGTGTGTGTGTGTGTGTGTGTGTGTGTGTGTGTGTGTGTGTGTGTGTGTGTGTGTGTGTGTGTGTGTGTGTGTGTGTCTGTGTGTGTGTGTGTTGGGGATGGGGCTTACCACGTACTTTCTGATCGGAGAGCAAATGTGATTGAACCGAAAAAGGCTCTAGGTAAGGCAAGTTACAGGCAAACATAAACATTACCAGTTTACTTCTTAAATATTTATCAGCCTAAACTTTTTTTTTAATATTTATTTATTTATTTGGCTGTGCTGGGTCTTAGTTGCCTCATGTGGGATCTTTTAGTTGCGGCGTGTGGGCTCTTAGCTGCAGCACGTGGGATCTAGTTCCCTGACCAGGCATCACACCCGGGCCCCCTGCATCAGGAGCTCGGAGTCTCAACCACGGGCCCACCAGAGAAGGCCCAAAACTTGCTTATCTGGAGAGGCCATATATAACATAGCGGTGAAACTGACAGGCTTTGGCATCAGACAGATCTGAATGTGAATTCCAGCTATACTCACTGTGTGGTCTTGGGCAAGTTACTTAACTTTTCTAGGTCTCAGTTCCCTTATCAGTAAGATGGAGATGATGATAACAAGAGTACCCTCCAAACAGAGTTATTCTGAGGGCTGAATGAGCTAATGCAGTCAAAGTGGTAGAACGGTACACTATTTAATAAATGTTCAATACATGTCAACTATAATCCTGGGAATGTGAAAGCTCATCATTTTTGGTAAAAGTCAAGTTTATTTAAGTCTAATTTATGTATGATAATTGCCCCATTTGGTGTACATTTCTATGAGTTTTAACAAGCACATACAGTCATGTAACCACCACCACAATCAAGATGCATCACCCCCAAAAGTTCCTCTGTGCCCCTTTGCCATCACCTCCTCTCCCCACCCCTAGCCTCAGGCAACCACTGATCTGTTTTCTGTCCCTATAGTTTTGCCTTTTCCTGAATGTCATATAAATGGAACCATACAGTATGTAGGAGAAAACTCATCATGTTTAAAGGTTGGCATATACTTGACATCCAATACATTTCTAAGTAGATTTAAAGAACCAAGATACAATTTTCATTCCAAATCAGATGATATGTTTCCCATTGACTTATAGAAGAGGTACAATTTTCTCAAATGCCTCCCGAGTAGTTCCTTTATGGGTTTTTCTCATACACTGTCTATCAGTCATTAAGTCTCACCCTTGAGTCTGGGGTTGGCAAGGAGATCTCAGGTATTCAGAAAGGGGAAGTACAAGTTCCCCTTCTTACCTGAATGGATAAAGGGAGGAGGAGAGAGTCATGTGAGGCAGGAAGTGAGTCACATGGCTCTCCATCTCTCCATTTTAGGGGAGGTCTGGGGAGCTGTGGAGAGGAATGCCAAGGGCAGGGGCATTTCATTTATTTGTTTCAATTCATGGCTTGGACACCGGGATGAGGTTGCCTTGCAACCTCCCTGCCCCAAACCTTGGAGGTAACCACTCCTCAGTAAGCCTGGTAGCACCACAACTATTTCAGTTCCCATGTGGCATGGAGGGGCCCCAGAAGTCCCCTTGTGGAGGGGAAGGAGAAGAAGCAGCTGAGTTAAGAGTGGCCCACTGTGACCAGGGGAGGTGACCCTAGAGCAGGGATCATGGGCTAATCCCCTGATCAGGGGCTGGACAGAGGACATGGCTTGGAGGGTTTAACACCAACAAGAGGCTGCAGAAGCCAGGCAGCCAGGAATCAGCCCCAAACCCTGGCCAAGAGGCCATATGTTGAGTGCATCTGCAGTCC